CCAGAATTTTTGAAAAACTCCATAAGATTCATGAATATGACCGAAAAGATGAACCAATGGTTTTACTTCTTCAACTCGTTGATAAAGATCTTCACACCCAACATTTTCAGTGCCATCGACAAGATCAAGTATATTGGATGGTGGTCCATGCGTCATAAGTATATCTGTTGTTTCTGGTATTCTTGACCATATTTCTTAAATCAAATTGTTAATAAATTATTATCATTATCATTACTATTTTATATATATTTATATTAATTATTGTGTTTACCTTTTAAAAATTCACCACGCTCACCATTAAATCCCCAATCATAAAACCATGGAGTCCATGGACTTCCATACACTTTATATCCAATTTCAGGAATTACATATGAACTTTCTTGTAAATAAACAAATCCATTACCTACTTTGCTTATTATGCCAATTGCTTTATCGTGATTATCTTTAACAGTATGGAATTCTGACCAATTTGTTTCATAAAATTCCTTATGCAATCTTTTATTAATAAGCAATTAATTAATAAGTTGGTTGGTTGGTTGGTTAGTGATTAGGAAAAAAATAATCTATTCTTATTATTATTGGAGAAATTGTTGCTTACATTAGATCATGATTACCAGCAATGACAATTTTATGTCTAATGATTTTCTTAATTAAGGTTAATATTTATTTGAAATTTTTCTATTTAGGAAAAAAAAGGATATTTACCTATGTGGAAGATCTTTCAACCAATTGACAGCTTGTTCTAGTTGATCCACAGTCCCTACTTTGGTCAAATCACCTGAATGAACTTTACACACACACGAATTAATGAGCCAATCGTAATTATCAGTATTATATATAACAATCATTATTATTATTAGAAAATAATATACACATACGTAAAACATCGCCTTCAGGTACTGTAAAATTCCTAGAGTTGACCATATTATGAGTATCACTAACACATACAAATCGTATCCAATCTGGTGCTGGTTTATCTGGGATTTCTGTTCTAGAATGGTATACATTGCTAACATTGTTAATATTTGATCTTGTTATAATTTTAGATCTAATCATATTTAAATAATGATAATAATGACAATAATAACAACAAAGGATGATATCATTATTATTATCGTTGTTTCTGCGCCATCACGCCAATTTAGACCGAGCCAACCATATTAATATGTCACATATAATAAATTCCTAATAATGGTCCTTGCCTTTTTTGGCTAGTATAAATTTACAAAGCGTAATGTATTGTTAATATTATTAATAGCAACATCTCTAATGATACGAATAAAATAGCGAATTTAATTTCTTATCAAAACAAAATAATCGTTATATTTTTTTGATATATTTATTTGATGTTTATTATTAAAATTATTAATAAAAATTTTTTTTGCATTTAATTTGCATCATTTGATTTGATCATAAGTTTTACTTTTGTGGATCTCTTGGTTTAACAGATAATAAAATTATCTGGAAAAAAATATCCATTAAATCAAGCTTCACTGTGAAATGTATGGGGGCAAAGGTATCATTCATGCACAAAGAAAAAATTAATAGTAATAAAAGGCTATGTCATGTTTGTTTTATACACAAAGTTGAAATTGATTTCCCCAAAAGGTCAAAATGGTTGAAATTATGCCATATCACATGATGCCTATAATTAAATTAATTATCAATAATGAAACATGGCTCATTAAAATAGTCTCATAAAGAGGATTCGAATAATGGTATTTTAATGTTCATAGCATCAATAAATGGTGAGTTATTGTAAGATCTATGGTAAACCAAAATACCTGCAATAATCAGTGATGAATTACATCTCACTAGACTTGACTCATCAAGAGGATTCGAATGATAGTTGTTTTATCTAAAACAGCCAGGTGTTGTCCAAATCTGAAGATTTTTCTGGATGCTCAGCTTGTATGATGTAATTTCAATCATTTTGACTTCATGTGCAGTTTATTTTTTTTTAAAACTTATTAAAGATATAAGATAAAAATTACCAGAGCAATTGCATGAATCCAAGACTGCACCCACCAATTATGCCATTATGTCAACAAAGCTATTATTTGAAATCTAAATAAGGGCGTAGGTTAAGTTTTCTAGTTCAAGATATTTTTGAAAAAAAGTAGCTTTGACAATAGTTTTAGCTTCTTGATATTTTTATAAAAAAAACAAATATAAAAGAATGAATGAATAAATGAATGGATTATGGGTTCCTTACATTTAAATCTTCATATATTTAGGTAAAAGCATACTTTGTACAATTAAAATAATTAACAATTTGTTTGTAATGTCTTATAAAAATATAAAGATTTAACTAATACTTGACTAATAATTCTACACATTCCTCTGCATTTTTAATATTTATCCACATGGTTTCAACTGGCTCTTTGAATATTTTTCAGAGAGTAAAATAATAATAAAGGCCTAGATAAAAGCACACTTAACAAATTAAAATAGATCATTGTCACTGTTATTATTAATAATGTCTTGCACAAATAAATAATTCACAAAGAAAATACTTGTCAAAGTTTCACTCTTTCAATCAATTTTTTCCCCTAATACATGATGCCATCCCTGTTTTTCTTTAGTTTTCCCGTACCTTGATATTGCTTCCAAACGAGCATGATAAATCTTTTGATTCGAAATTGTCATTACATATGTAAACTCAATAAGTTGGTCATGTCAGGGCAGACCTTGTGACCGACTTATTGAGAGAACTGAGTTATTGAATTCCACATGATTTTTTAAATTTAAAATATTTTATTTATTTATCTTTTATCTCAAACATTAGAAGGCTGGAAAATCATCATTTCTTTTGTAGAAACTGCAGTATTTACTAAAGTTGCGAATATTTTTATACATATTTCTGAATATATTAATTTAATA